GTATCTAATATTTACTATTATAAATGAGATTAATGGACATTGCCTCCCACTTACACAATTTCCTATTACAACATAAGATTTTTCATTAATTAATAATACTATTTGTAATATTATTATTGTATCTAATATTCACTCAATTTTTGACTACGTTCAAAGCAATTAATTGGTCAACCGAAACATTAAGCTTACCCATTATTTATTGGTCTCCAGTTTTTTTCGTATTTGAGATCAAGATTAGATTGTCCAGCTAGTTTTATAGGCTCATTTTTTGACCTCATTTCGATAATTCAAACCGTTCAATATTTAGAACTTGTCGAGTATTATATTTCTTTAAAAACTCACATTGATCAAATATTGATAGCTATTTGATCTGATTAGATTTGTATAAAAAAATAGACGGTAAAAAAATAAACGATTAACAAAAATCTGATCCGATCAAATAAATCAACGTGATTTTTTATAAAGATATAATACTCGACGAGTTCTACACATTGAACGGTTCAGATTATTGAAACGAAGCCCAAAAATGAGCTAATAGGCCGGACTAAACGGTCCAATCTTGATCTCAAACATGAGATAAGCTAGACCCTTAGTTAATCACCACCATGATTAATGACTTTAAGTGAAAATTATATCAGTGTTGACAATTTTTATTTATACATCATTTGAAAATTCAAATTAAAGCACTACACAAATTATTTGAGGTAACAATACATTTCTAATGCTTACAAGATTTGCCACCTATTATAAATTATATAACATTTTTTTTTGGGTTAGGGATACAAATAATACATGATAAATTACACCAAACAAGCATTACAAAAAAAACGTCACTAACCTATGGCAACGGTAACATTTTCAAAGTTTTCACAAAAATCGCACTAAATATTTTTACTAACATTTATGATGTCTTTATGTGTTAAAAATCCCCCATAAAAATCAGTTTTCCTACCATGAGGGCCTAAAAACAGTAATTAAGTAGAGTAGTTTGGTTTATGTTTGTAGAGTAGTTTTTGAGATAAAAAATACGAAAATTTGTTTGGTTTGTCTTTTTTCAGAAATGATTTTAAAAAATTGTTTTGGAGAGAGAGTTTTAAAAAAAGTAATTGATTTGATGTGTATGAGAGAGAGAGAGAGAGTGATTTTGGAAAGTAGGTAACCAAACAAAATTTTGAGATTTTTTTTGAAAAATTTTGTTTAATTTGATTACTCTTGAAAATTTCTTTGTATAGAATTTTTTTCAAAATTTTTTTTGAAAACTAAACCAAACAAGACCGAGAATCCTAATGGAGATGTTTGCTTTGTTGTACAGTTGACATTGATTTGTTTGTTGATAACCAGATGAAAGAAGTGTGGAGTGGGTTGCCCTCAAGAAAATTAATAAATAAATAAAGGAAGGAAATACATTTTTATTTTTATAAAGGGTTAGCTGTACATATCACTAGCTGTTTCATTACCAAGTTGAACAATGGTGGAGCCTGTTTGGTTCCCCTCAAATCTTTCAATTAAATCACTTCAGGGTCCACACACCACTTATTTAATTATATAACACCTAATACTTTACATCAAAGTCCACTTTTAAGAGCATGCAATTTTGACCTTACTGACCAGAAAAGTCAACAATGCCATTGGCTGACAGTGAACCTCATCAAGATTAAGGGATCAGCTAGGAGATGAAATGTGAGGCACAATTAAAGTTTGAGTTTATCTCGGTAGGTGCAATTTTCTCCTCCTTCCTTTTTTTTTTAATTTTTTTTTTTTATCAATTGCAAAAAAAATAAGAGTATAGCTATTTATATTTTTTTGGATTCCTACCATTTTGGACTCCAACTTTCAAATTTTGATTTATTATCTTATTCTCAAATATACCTTCATTTCCTAAACCCTATCTCTAGTCCTCACCTTCATGTTCGACCACCATGCTTCCTCCACTACCACCCCCTACCCTTGCGATGCACCCCTCATTGCTCCACACCCTCAGCCTCATTCTCTACTTCTTTGCACACCACCATGACCGCCAAAGTTCTTCCTTCCTTCTTCTCTCCTCTCTCTCTCTCTCTATCTCTCACACGAGGTTTGGGGTTGCAAGTGGTGAAGGTTTCAAGGGTGGCAAAGAGGGACTGCGAGATGGAGCTACAAGTTAGGCGTCGTCATGTTTTAGTTAAAAAGCCATTATAAATTGTTACATCACTCTTTCTAATTTTCTAAACATCTTTTTGTAGAAAGTTAAAAAGTTACTTAAATAGCTTGTACCTGAACAAAACTTAAGTACTAAGGTAAGTTGGGAAAGGGACAATGGTGGCAGGGATGGATTGTGGAGGAGAAGTTGATGTTGGGAAAAATAAAAATAAAAAGGGTAAATTTGAGAAATACAGAAGCTCTAAAAGTGCGATAAATTTGCTTTTTTATAAGATGATATTTGCTTCCACTCAATTGAAGTTTGTTAATAGGTTCATAACAAATCATCTTCAGAATACAACAATGCCTGAAATCCTACTGATAGCAATTCTGGGGAATTTCCAAAATGTCATTGTGAAATACTAAAATTGAAAACAGAGGAAATTGGAGATAAATAAAAGATACAAAAATCTGCAAGAGAAACTCCAGTTCATATAGTTTGTAGAGGCAAAAAGTGAACTGTTTATTTAAATAGTAATAATTAATAATTATTATTATTTAAAGGACATGTTTGTTGGTTAACATAACATATCGAAAAATTATTCCATATCCTATGTAGCCATATCATAAATCAATCTCAAATGGTGAATCAAGTGGGGAAAGAAAAAAAAAAAAAAAAACAGGCTAATCAAATTGACAGAAGTTGTTCAGAAACTCGTGTTCTTGGAAGTAAAACGAAACTTCGATTGAAATAAAAATGTACTATAAGAGTCGTGTTTGTAATCCTGATGTGCCAAAATAAGAAAGAAAAGTAATTTAGACTATTTTGCAGGTGTAGGCTAACTCTCATCCCTCGAGTTCTAATTAAGGCAAAACCCTTTATGATTTGGTTCTTGTGTGAATCACCCCTTTCTCATTTACAAATAACCATATTAACCTTCTAAGGTTTGTAAATTAAAATGCACAGTTAACTTTTCTATCCAAGTCAACAGGCAGTGACAATAATGCATTAATTTGGGAGTAATTCTGTTTCTACACATCATTTACTCTCTCTATAAATGAATTAAATTTTTATTACTATTTTACCATTAAACAAAATGACCACTATAGACATCAATGCACAACAAATCTTAAAACTATAATTTCATTGTACACATCTTTGGAAATAAAAATTCTCAGTGCACATCATTTGAAAAGAAAAAACACACACACACATCAAGCTAGTCCTACATTGTTCCTCCACTGTTTTTCGCTCTTACCATTATTGCACTCTATTGTTCCTCGTCATTCTTAATTTGTGTGATGAAAGATTTACAAAATAATAGAAGTATAAATTTAGAGAAGAATGTGACTGGTTGCAACCAATGCAATGATAAAATGGTGATCTTTTATGCGCGGAAATTGATTGTTTTTTTCTTGTTCTCAATCCTCATTCAGGAAACTACTATCGCATAGGTGCAATATATTCATAAATCAACAACCAAATTTAATACATTTCAGATGTCCAGAACCAAATGGGTTCAAATCATTTGGTAGTTATGTGTCGAATGAAGTAATTTGGTTCGAATGTTGATTGCCAAACAAAACTAATTGGTCTGAAAAATCAATACCGAATAGGTTATTTCTGTTTATTTTCCAACCAGGCTCGAATGACTATCGAAAATGGTAAAACTACAACTTATTTTTATAAATTTATTCCATAATAACCACAAAATGTACGGGTAAAAATTACTAACATCCGATAATGCAATCAAGCTCAATGTAGGTCTTCAATAGAGCTAAAGAACTGCTGAAAATGTGTCGGAGGATTGCTAGATATGCCAAAGTTATGGGTGTGATATATGTAAATGTGTTTTGTGTGGTATGTGTACAAATTATGGATTAAGAGTATAGTTAGAACATTTGATGTGTGAAATGACAAAAACATAATGTAACTAAATTAGTAAGTATTTGAACTAAGAAATGATGTGCACAAAGTCCCCTGATTTGGAGTGTAAGCCATTGTTTAAGAGATAAATACCATTTTCATATCCTTAAATTTACAACAGAATACCATATTGTTCTTTCTCTATTATTTTTTTCTCATACCTATCTTCTCTCTACTGCATACTACCTCTCCCCCTTTCCCCATCTAGTTGTCTCTCCAACATCTCCATACCCATCACTCCCCTCCAACCCCCCTATGGTTGTCTTCTCCCTCTTGTTGCCCCTCCCGCAGCTGACATTAGTCGACCATGGCTTCTGCTTTCCACCACTCTCTCTGCTCAACCTTGATTAATATGAACCCACATTTTACCTTGTGAATGAATTTTGAGTTTGTGAATAAATTTTTGTTCTGTTATAAATGGTGTATGTATATATGTATAATCGTTCACTGGTTGTGTGCATTACCATATCTAAAAACAATAGGTTCCTACTGTCCAAGAATAAGCACACTCACAGCGACAAATGCCTTGTGAAAAGGGTTGTGTTCTCATTAGTGATTGTAACAAACACACAAAAAGAAGAAATTTTGAACTGCAACTGGGTAAGAATAAACTCAAAAAATTATTATAAAAAAAAAAACTGCAACTCTGTGTAATGAAATTTATTATTAGCATTTGTTTTGGTGTTGCAGAGATCTCTTCTCTATTCTCTACACTTTTCCTTCTTCACTCAGAACTCTGCATATTTTCTCTACTTTCTTTCTTCCTCAAACTAAACCCAACTATAATTACATTCTCTTCTTCTAAAAGACCCACAAACCAACCTCTTTCTTTGCTTGCTGCCCTGTGATTAACATTAACATTAATTTTTTTTTTTTTAAAAAAAAAAAAAAACCCTTTTTACATTTTTCTTTGCTTGCTGCCCTGTGATTAACATTAACATTAATTTTTTTTTTTAAAAAAAAAAAAAAAACCCTTCTTACATATTTCTATACCATATGTTGTTTCTCCTTGATTAGCTATGAACTTTGCGAAGCTAACTATCCGATCGAAATGGGAAAAAAGGAGAAAGTCTTTGTGTTCTATCCAATCCTTGAAAATGTCTTCAAAACTTCAGTCCTCTTCTACCGCTATAAATTCTTCTTTTTGTCTCTGAGTTGTGAATCTATGTAACTGTTGAAATGCTGGACCCTATAGGCGGTGCAAATGGGCTGTCTGGAAGGTTAAGTCCTTGACCGCTGCAATGGTTCCAAAATCAAAGCCAAAAATGCCCAGAAAGTGGGGGGGAAAAGGGGTAAATGTGTGAATAAGCACTAAAAGAAACACATTTGGTCCTGTTTGGTTGCATTTTCATTTTCATCATTTCCATTTTTCTTGTTTTCATATCAGTTTCATGCTTGTGCGAAAACAGCTTTTTGGTGTTTCCTGAACAGTGGATTGTTTTCAAAAAAAAAAATCCCAAAAACTGTTAGGCAAACAAGTAAAATGGCTTTTCCAAAAAATGAAAACAGAAAGGAGGAAACAAAACACAGACAAACAGGGCTTTCTGCTCGTTTTATGAAAACTCTTAATCGAAAAGCACAATTTTGCATACCTCTCTTGATCATTGTAATTGGTATTTATATGCCTAACATTGTCATCAGTAGTAGAACCATTGTTCAGCACATCCAGCAGATAATTAAAACCATCAGCAGATTGGAACTCTGACTGTTCTGCACGGGCTGAGGCATCGAAAGGGGAAAAAGGAAAAAAACATGAAGGGTATACAAATGAGGATTTTGTGTACAAATAAATAACATAATAATAATAATGATTGCATGTAACGGTTGAAAAACCTTCTGAAAGCTTCAACTCATCCATCGGGTAGCCAAAATACTGGTGGTGATGGTTCATGGCTTTAGGCGCCAGTTGCAACTCCGAGAAATGCCGTCCTTCAAGTTCGAGCGCCTGCTCATGTTCTTCCATGAGATGCTTCTTGAGTAGTCTTGAATTGTCACATACTCTAGGCACTATATAGGAAAAATAACAAAGAAATGTTATCGGACACCAAATACAACCCCAAGACAGAAAGAAATAAAAAATAAAAAATAAAAATAAACAACTTTTAAATTTTTTTCGTTTCTGTTGAGTTATTCTTCTCACTTGAGTGAAGCTCACATTCTGGATCAAAAAAGTGCGAACCACAGTACATAGAGTGCTGAAATTTCTCGCTATACTTCCTGCACAAAAATGTATCTCTCAAAATAGACCTCAAAACTTCCTCAAGCTTAATGAAGATTTTCACAAATTAATGTACCAAAATTATCCGAAATGAATTCTTATTCCAAACCATCTGTTTTTCTTTTTACAGATTTATAATCCAAGAGCTATCAAGAACTTTTGTGGACTCAGAAAAATTACGTAAATAGGCAAAGTGAGAAACTTCAATTATTATTTGTTCCGACGTGGTCAAAAGAGACAAACAGAATACAAGTAAGAAGATATCAAACGATACAAAAGTAAGTTCAAAAATCACAACCTATGTTACATGTACTCGGGTAGCATGTCGGGTGTCTCAAGTGTCAGATTCATTTAATTTTCATTTCAAGAAACATCAAGACACAGCTATTTTTCATTTTTCTTAAACGCTAGTATTATTTTTTAAGGGTAAAATAAAATTCTAAGAACTTAAATATACTAGCATTTTAGGTATAAAATGAAGTCTTATCATAGTTATATAGTAAATTCAATTACTTAGGCATATTTGTCAATAGTCCGACACGATTACTTCAAAATTTGAAATAGTCCATGTAACATACATCACAACAATAGAAGGAAATAAGGTTTAGTAATTAAATGAGCAGTATTTGTCGTAACTTGAAAGCCCAACAAATGAGAAAACCAAAATAGCATGTTTCTCCCTCTTAAATGAGTCGAAAAAATATACCTGTCTACAAGCCTTGGCTTCTCCCTATAGGGTTTCACCAGAACACGAGCCCCACAAACAAAATGAGGATTCCCTTTCATCAAAATCTGCTTCACCGTCTCAGCAAAAACAAAGGTCACAAACCCAAACATCCTCTTCTGTTGGCAAGGAATCCTCACGTCTTGAACAGGTCCAAATTTGCTACAGAAAGAAAAGGTAATTATAAATACAAAGAAAACAAATCCAAAAGTGTAAGCAACTATCAGTCACTTTCACGCCATCTTTCTTACTTGAAATAGTCAGCAACATCTTGCTCGGTAAAGGTGCTCTCAGCCGGGAAAGTAAGATAAATCTGCCGAGAACCAGAAACAATTCCTCCATGATCACATCTCTCACCATTGAACTCCATGTATTTCGAAACATCTTCAGCCAAAATCACTGAATGCTGGCCATGAGGTCTGTAAATCCAATGATAGCCATTGTTAAATTATATAATTATTCATAAACTAAAACTCTAATAAGTAAACACTAATATAAACCTGTCAATGAGACGGATACTGTTCTTCAGCCGAGCAAGAAGTTTGGTAAGGCTATAACCGGCCTTACCATGTCTCTGGCTCTCCGTAAGGTATCCCTCGGCTTGTAGGGTCCGTCCATATTTCTCATAGTACAACATTGGCAAAGAGGCTATTGAAACGGGAAATCCTCGCCTTGATTTCAAAAGCTCAGTAAGCTCGTACTCTAATTTCTCAAGGGACCCAGGTGAGAAAACATGATCGTCGTTTGCGAGTTCGTTTGAATTGGGGTTGAACATCTGAGAAAAACTTTCCGGCATGGGATGTCCATGGAAATACCTACAGTTGTTTCCATGTTTGCAAAACCCCTTACTGAAGTAATGGCAAACCTTGACAGGAAATTCAGGCAAGCTCGGAGACCTCCGGCTGGTTCTTGGGCCCAATGCAGGTTCCGGGTAATAGTAATTGCTCGAGATATCTGAATTAACAGACTCTAATTGATCATCCAGAGACAAGAACTGAAGTTGGTTCTGGAGGCGATAGTCATTGGGATCTGAATCAGGGTAAGGCGGTGGCACAAATTCCAAGTTATTAACTTGCTGCTGATCAGCAGCCACTTGGGGATCCCAGTAGGGATTGGCAGCTCGAAGGCTTGCCGGAGATGAAAATGGACGAGATGAGAATGGAATAAATTGTAACGGAATATCTATAGCAGGCGGAGCTTGGTTCACCGGACGAGGAGAAATTGGAGCCGAAACTGCTGGTGTGGAAGCTAATCCAAGGTCTGTTTTAGCTTTGTTAATCAGAGAGTGGAGGAAATTATCAGGGCTAAAAGCTAACCGGATCATGAAACGATCTCCGTGCTCTTGTAATAGGATATAGCCGAGGATTTTAGAGGCATTTTCGGGCTCTAGTTTCTGGATCCTATTGTATAGAACTTTGGCAGACTCAGGAAGGTCCATCTCAAACCTCAACCTTACAAATGAAAAAGGTATGATTTCTTAGATAAATCCAAATTGCAAGTCAAACAAACTTGACTCTAACTAAACATTAAAAATCGCATCAAAAAATATCTACCCAACAAAAAAAAATTAAAAAAAAAAAAGAGAGCACATTAATGGATGAACGCTATAAAAAATATCTTGAGGAAGAGAGATCAATGAAGCCAATAAAACAATTTGCAAATCCATTAAACTAAGGAACAAATAAACACAACAAAATTTTTATATCAACAGACATGTGGAAGATCCCCGAGATGCTGATTCTATGTTATGACCGGTATTTTAGAACAAAAACAGAAAATGAAAGCCATATTTGTTCATCCATTTACTCCGTCAATTACTTTGGTCACATTCACATCACTATTATTAGCGTTATAGTAGTCAACAAAACACCTTATAGTCCATAACTTGCTCTACATTTTTGCCTCAAAATATGGGAAAATCAAAATCTATACCAAAATGCAAATAATAACAGAGAAATTAAAGGTGAATATAACCAGGAGGAAGCTACAAGAATCATCATTTCCATAATAGCAACAACAAAACAGAAGGGTATTTAATTTTATGTTTGGTATAAAAGGAAATTAAGATAATGTCGACCCAAAAATGCATGAACATTAACCCACCAGATTAAACATGTCGATCCTATGTTGCCCAAAGCGGGCTCCTCAGCCCACAAGGCTCACGCTAAAGCGGGATTTGGGAAGGGTAAGATATTAACCAAAGCAAAAACTCAAAATTAAACACAAGAAGTGCCTCTTTTGTAGAAGAAAATAAGAGAGATGACACATCTTCTCCTCAACCTAATTGGAACTAACCAAAAAATGGATTTCACAACCAGACTTCAATAGAGAATGAAACCCCGAGAATATATTTTTTTTTCCCTTCTTCTTTTTCCTCTCCTACATGAAAAATTAAAGAAAAACCCAGTTACCCATTTGTCAAACACAAACTCTGTCTGCTTGTTTTCACATGAAGAAACCATTTGTCCGAAGAATTTGAGGAAGAGAAGAGTCATTGAAAAATAGAAAGAAAAATGACACAGATGTATCATTTTAAGCTATCAAACAACTTCAAAAGAAAATAAATAAAAATCTTCAAAAAACCAGTAATTTTTTAACCTCATTTTGGAACAAACCCATGTCCGTGATCAAATTTTGCACAAGAATTGTAAATTGTAAAGAACACAAAAAAACGAAGTTTGTATCTTTAACATTTCGATCAAAACCCAAGACACAAAAAGCACATCTTAGACACCCTTATACATGAATTTTGAGATAAAACCCAGGTCAAAAATCAAAAGACTGAGAAGAATTGACCATTGGAAGGAGAGTGAACAACATGAGATAGCAAAGCTTCATCCTTGACAATTTTTGACAATTCATTGAAACCCAAAACCCACAAAATACATACTAACCACACTTTAAAATAAAAAAAAAACAAAAGACAAAAAACAAAAAACAAAAACAAAAACAAACCCATTTCCAAATTCACTTGTTCATGAGAAATAGAATTGACCACATAAAATAAAATAAAAAATAACAAAAAATAACAAAAAAAGGAACTTGAAAATTAACCATATTTGAGCAAAGATCTCATACCCACCAAATATAACAAGCCTCTAAAAGCAGAACCAAGTTCAGACCAACCAATCCATAGCCTCAAACTCCTCCATGATTGATTGATCACTCCATTCTCTCTCTCTCTCTCTCCTCTCTCTCTCTCTATCTCTCTCCTTGAATTTGCTATATTTATCCTCTCCTATTCCAAACTAATGCCCTCAATTCTCCGCAAAAACGACACTATTCTTAAATAAATAACAAAGACCAAAATGACAGAAAGGATAGCTTTTGTCTTTAGTTCAAATCTAAACAAAAGCCCACTCGGTGAACACACACAAATATATATACAACGCAGACACACTTGCTTCAATTGACTCTTTCTCTCTCTCTCTCTCTTATCTCTCCTTCTCTCTCTATCTCTTTTAATCATTTTTAAATTTTGAAATGTTGGGTTCTTAATTTAATCTAAAAAGTTTTACTGATTCTACCCGTCGTTACAGAATTTTGCGGGAATTTATTGAAAATGCACCTGGATTTTCGAAAACAGCCGCACAACTTGAAATGACATTAATGTCCTCTCATTCAATATTTTAATTTTAAGGCCCACACATATAAATATATATTTAATTCGGATATACCTATTTCACCTTACTCTATTTTTAGGCAATTTACTATTTGTAACTGACAGATAGGGCATGTAGAGAATTAAAATGGGAGAAGTTATTGATTGGTTGACTACTTCAATAATATTGTGATTATTTAAGGAAGTAGAGTTCACAATTTAGAGGTTGTTTGGGATATTTTAAATAATTGTATTTTTTATTTTTTTAGACTAAAAAATTGAGAAAGAAAATATAAATGTTTGGGTTAACTTTTTGACTTTTTATGAAAAAATGTGTAATAAAAAATTGTAAAAATTGGTTTGTATGAGAAAATTAGGATTGAGAGTTGTACAGTCATAATTGTTGACTTTTGGTGAATAATGTTAACTTTTTAACTTTTTGAGTAACTTTTTGACTTTTTAACTTTTCCTGAACATGCCAAACTTGGCCTTAGTATTAGGTAATTACATAACAAAAAAAGATATAATATATTGTGATAAATAAAAAATACCATCATGTAACATTCTAAGAGCATCAAATAATTTTTCATTAATATGGTGTGATTGTTGTAACTTATAGACCAAAGTTAATGGTGTGACTGTGCATTCTAATTAGTATATTTGTTGTAATTTCTGTTTATAATTTATGTGACAAAGAATATAAATAACTTTAAAAATTTTGAGTATTGAAATATTAGAAATGTATACCTTTAGTTTATATTTTTTATTATTAATTTTAATTGTTAAACATTGTACTAAATATATGTATTTTGTGACATGCGCATGCTTAATGAAGCTACGATAAAAGTATAGAAAGTTCATTTATTTCTCAATTGATCAAAGTGACTCAAATCAACTCCAATTATGACATTGGTTTTCATTTTATTTTTTCCATAGTAATTTATATATTAGTCAAATTTTTAAAGCTTTTAATGCACTTAATATTAATAAACCTTAAAAAGTAAAATATTTATGAAAAAAAATTAAAAATTCAGTAAAGACAAATAAAAAGATGTGATTATTTTTTCAATGATCTTTTTTTATTTCATTTCTTCATAAATATTTTACTTTTTAAATATATCTAAATTAAGTACATTTAAAAGTAAAATATTTTTAAAAAAATCATTAAAAAAACAAATTTTAAAAAATATTCATAGCACACACATTGTGAGGTGAGTTTAGAAAACCTGATGGGACCACCACGAAGAGAAGAGAAGAGTTAAGATATATGTTCACATATTTGGAAATTGGAGAATTCTATTATATATTCATTTTCATTTTTTGTTGTAATATTATTTTAAAATTTTTTATTATGTCTCATTTATATTTGATTATGAATTTTTTTTTTTTTTAGTTATGACTATAGAATTATGTCATTTTTCTTCTATAGTTATAAAATGCATATGGTATACTTTTTAAGGAGTGTGTACCATAGTTTTTTTTCCAAAAAATTAGTTATTTTACTTTTTTTTATTTCTTACAAAAATACGTAAAAAAAAAAATAGAAAGAATAATATAAAAAGGTCCTCAAGATATTTTCAAAAATAATTTTAAATCAATGATAAATTTTACTGATTTTAATAATTTAAATTTAAATTTTTTTTGTAAATATTTTATGAAGTGATTTATAATTTTTCGTTCTCTGTTTTGGTGTATATAAGGGAAACAAACAAACATATGCCTCGCAGGCAATAAAACCTTTGCCCCTACGAAATGTCATATCTTGGCGGTTCTCAATTTTTTGTTTTTTTCATTAAAAAAGCTGCCCCCACAAACATCTGTATGTACCTACATTGCATGCTTGCCACTTGTCATCTTAGGTCCGTTTATTTTGGATTGTAATGGGCGGGAGGGGGTTAAAATGAAGGTCAGATTATTTAGTATTGTGTTTATTTGTATAATTAGGAAAGAGATTAGGATGAAAGAGGGGATATAGATGGAGGTTGGAGAGGGAATTGGATGGAGGAGGAGGAGGTGGAGGTGGAGGTGGTATTAAAAAAATAATGAAGGGATTAGAATTTTTTTTTATTTTTTTATATATATTGGGAATTTTTTAAAAATATTAATGTTTAATTTTTTTATATATTTTTCTTTGGTTTATTATTTTATATAAAAATAATTTAACAATTCCTACACTAACAACTTCCATAAAAACAAACACAATTTTACTTAATCCCCTCACTATGAATCTCCTTCATTCTACTTTTGAAAACAAACGGGGCCTTAAGGTGTTTGGCGTGAATTATAAGATTGATTATAACTTATTTTAATTTAAAAATTTGTGTTAGACTGTTTGGTTCTATTTACAGCTTTTTAAGTAGCCATAGCTTAAATAAGCTGAGAAAAGTTAATTATTTAGAAGTTAAGAAAGTAGTACTTTTAATTTTTACTTTATAATTATTAATTTTTAACTTACAATAAGATACACTAAATAATACTAATGTGAGAGAATGTCAATAACACACAACAATGCTAGGTTTACTTCATTTTTTACAATTTTTTACACACTCATGTGAGATCTACCTCCATTTAAATATATGTGTAACATAATATGTAAAATATATTTACACTTTTTTTTTAATTACTTAATAGAGGTAGTGTTTAAGAAATGATAATTACATAGAATTAAAATATAAAAAGTATAATTGATGGCTAAAATCTAAATTGCATGGTGTATTTTCCATATATTTTTTTCTTCTTCTAGTTTTATGCATGCAACACAACTTGTATGACATTTTCAAGGAATTTGGTTTGAATGAAATATAATTGATTAAATCAATAAAAATAAGATTTAGTGTCCCATTTTATTGAGACTAATCTTCTAAAAAGGGTAAAAATATGAAAGTGTTGTTAATAAATATATCGGGGCAAAAGATGGGAAAAAAGATTAAGAGATATTTTTACTCATTTCGAACATTTTTTTAAATTTTTACAAACTTTTTAACGTCATTACCTTTTTTCCTAGACACTTTTTATTTTAACTGAAATATTAACTAGTGTCTTGGGAATACTTATTATCATTTGCCAAATATTAAACCTTACTAATTTGTCAAAATAATCTGATGTAAAGATCTAGATTAACCAAAAACAAACAAAAAAAAAACTTAAAAATTATTTGGTAGTTTAGGACAAGTCCTAATTTGATCTTTATTGATTAAAATATTGAGACTTAATATTTTGTATTAATTTCTAAGAGACAACATGATTGTCATGTGATGAATATTATGAAATATTATTCCAAAATTACCAAATAAACTCTCCAAATAAATTTTCCTAGGACCCATGGTGAAAATTACAATAAGTGTAGTGTCGGAAAAATAATTACAAAATCATTAAAAAACTTAGAATATTAATTATTATTATTAATAAAATTTTCACTAATTTGTAATTATTTTTGTAAAAAAGCACTGATATACCATAAATTTTATTATTAACATTTTTATATAAATTGATATATATTAATAAAACTTCATACGCGAAAGGGAATCCAATAAACAAATATTATTAAGGCCTAGGGTTCGTTTTGAAAGAATTTTTTTAACTTGATTTTTTAACTTTTTGATTTTGTTTGGGAAGAATTTTTTACTTTTTTAATTTTTTTGTGAGAAAATTAGTATAATAATTATGATTTGAATTTGACTTATTTTGTCTTACTATCTTATTTAACTTATTTATATTTTTGTGTTTTTTAAGTCTTAACCTATACCCAACTTACTTGCCAAACGGCAACTTAGTTTGGATAGTGAGTTTTTTAGTGGTATTTTAATTAAAACATGAGTTAAAAGGATAAAAACATTTGAGAATAGTTTTTTAACTTTTTTTTTGTTTAGAAAAAAATGAATAAAAGAAAATAAGATAAAATATATCACTTTTTATATAATTTTTTAATTAATAAAAAATTGTAAATCAATGAAACAGTAAAAGAGTATTTAGATTTTTATAGTGGTGCAAATGTTTTGTGTGTATAGTACAAATTAATTTTAATTTTTTTTTAATTATAATATAATTATTTTTTCACTATCTTGCTAATTTACAATTTTTTCTTTAATTAATTCAGTCAATTATAAAACCAGTCCTAAATATCACGTCAATTTTATTTTAAAAAAATATATTTATAAATTTTAATCAAGCTGAAATCCAATCACATTAACCCTCGTCCACTCAAATCACTACTATGGGACCTACATTCTCACATCCAAATCCTACCTGTCAAGTTCTGGGCCCCACTCAGTATTTTGAGTTGGGTTAAGCTGGTGCTTCAGTGGAAACAGAGCACACAACCTGCTGTCTTCATTCATTGTTAATATTATTTTTTAAATAATTTTGTTTTCATATTTTTGGGAAGGTTTTTTAAAAAATATTCTATAAA